CGAAGATGACGACATTCAAACACCTGAATTCTTCTCACATCTTCCACCTTCAATGGTTATATTTCACAGCTATATAGCACAACAGAGCAAGCTCCAACATAGGACAGCTTCTATGCAACAAGTCTTTGTACTAAAATGCCAATCAATATCGCACTGCAGAAAGTCAGAATTCAACTAAAAACCCACTCAGAACTTACAAAAATAAGATATCGGTTAATGAGATCACATTAGGCGTACAGTTGTTCGTGACTTTTGCAGTCTTCAAGTTTCAGGACAAGATCTATAGACAAACAGAAGGAGTTGCAATGGGATCACCAATATCTCCAATCGCGGCAGATATCTTTATGGATAGTTGGGAAGACATGAATTCACAAACGTTTAATCCTGCACCAACGATATGGTGGTGATGTGTGGATGACTTCATATTTACTGTGTTGAAATCAGAACATACCGACAATTTCCTCACATACACAAAATCAGTAGTAGACACAATCCAATTCACTTACGAGGTAGGAACTAAACAAGGAGAATCACCTATGTTGGATCGCAGAATAAAACGAAGGGTACACGGTGGTTTGGATACTACCATCTACAGAAAACCAACACATTCTAACAGGTATCAAGACTTCAAGTCATCCCATCCAATATCAGTCAAAGCAGGCTTAGAAAAATGTCTAGGTGATAGAACTAGAAAACTGACTAATCAGTGCAAGGACCTAAAAAAGAAATCGAAACACGTAAAAGAAGCGCTAATAGTTAATAATTGTCCTCTACAGTTTATTAAGAACTTACTACTGACACACAAGAAACGAGGAAATAACAGTCACACAAAGTACGAATAATAACGACAACACGAGTAGAAATGAGTTCACCTTACAAGAAAGGTATATCAACAATAACTTTACTTAGGATCCTCAACAAATCTGGAATTAGGGTGGCATTTGAACCTACAAACTCACGTAAGGATAAGCTTGGTCAGCTGGCTATAAGATCCAATCGAACCAATTAAGCAGAATAATCAAGTGCATAGGTCAAACTAGCCGGTCGGGGTCAGTTAGAATAACCGAACATAGAAATTTAACTAAATATAGAATGATAGACCCCAATAAGATCAACAATCTAGAAAAATAACTAGGCTATTGCAATGCATGTATAATAAGACACAACCACGTGATACGATGGGTGGGATAAAACACCTCTACCGCTTAAATCCAAATTAATTAGGTGGAGAGAGAGAGAGGAAGGGAGATTGATTACTGAATCTTTGTTCATCGAACCAACCAACACTCAAAACATGTGGAATAGAAATGATGCAACACATTCATACCAGAGATATGGAATACTTTACTACGTATAAAAACAAATCATATGGAGTGACAGATCTATAAGAATCAGATGTCGACTGTTGTGTGATTACATTGATATGATTATGAGCAATGATAAATTATGCCGAATACGTCATCCAGTGAATAATACTGTATCAGTGTGTGCTAGCTGTATCAAATAAACAAGTCTAATATGGAATTAAATTCTACCACAAAGGTGATGAAGATACCCGACCAACACCACCACCAATAACAACACCAAGAAGCTCCAATCACCATTAACGGGAGAAACTTAAAGGAAGTAGCCTCTTTCACCTACACCTAACTAGGCAGCACCGTTCCAACTACAGGCAACAGCACAGACGAGGATGTCAAAGCCAAGATCGGAAAGACGGCAAGACAGGCGTTCATTAACCTGAAACTAATGTGGAGATCTTCTGCACTGTACTCAGCACTAATTCAGTCGAGTCAGTGCTTCTATGTGATGATTGAGAGACTTGGCGCGTTACGAAAGGCATTTCTAACAAACTACATCAACCACTGCCTACGCCGGCTCGATACTAAAGATAAGATTGCCAGAAAGAATAAGCAACAAGGGACTCTGGCCAGGCAACGAACCAACCAAGAACCTATCGCCCAACATATATACAGAAGAAAGTGGAGATGGATTGGATTAAGCATACACTGAGAAGACCATTCGGGGACATAACGCAACAGACCAGGCCCTCAAGCGAAACCCGAATGGGAAACGGCGAGTAGGGCGTTCCAGCTGAGAGTGACATGGAGGAGATGGTGTGAGGAAGAAATGAAAGCTTGTGGGCAGTCGTGGAGCCAGGTTCAAAAGACTGAAGAGAACAGATGTGCTATTGAAGCCCTATGTTCCACTAGGAATCCAAGGGACAAATAATATAATAATAATACAGTGCCCAAGTTTTACACTTATGTTAAGTACATTCAACCCTTAATAGAATATTGAAAACAATACAGCGCATAGCCCGTCTACACCTGCTCAATATATTAGGAGCTGTTGCAATAAGACTGATCAAAGGTGAACTTGACATTGAGAAGTATCATTTTCAACCGTTATTCCTACCATGGCATTTAGTAGACTATAAGTCACTCATCTCCTCTCTGTTCATTGAATTTTCGTTTACTACCCTTCACCTTTATATGTACACATATATTACTCCAATATTGACAAATTTATTTTAAAAAAGAGAAATCAGTTTCGTTAAAGTTTCTAACTCGTATTCCATTTTGGAATTGTATTCACCTTAAATTTAACTTGTTTCTACGCTGTACAATTGCACTTTATAACTGTAGAATCTGATGAAAACACTTATTGATAAGAATTTTGTTTATTGTTCAGATTTTCGCTTCCATGTCTACTCTCTACCATAACAACACTGTATCATTACGACTACTCCTACTCCTACTACAACAATATCCAACAGGACTATCCACATTGTACACCTAACAATCAAAATTTAAATCAATACACTGTGGAATAGTCATGTGTCCAGAAACACATACACACACACTCACACACACACACAAAAACTGATCAAACTGCAGGAATTGAATACAAGTTATGAGAAGTCTTAAAGAGAGGAGGAGAAAGGAGAAGTAGTGTATTAGACAAGCTTAAAATGCAAAAATACTTCTTTTTTTTTCTCTCTAGAATATAGATATGTATGTATGTATATACAGACGACGACGCCGATAACATCAACACCAGGAAGTTGATGTCTTGTGACCAGGGACAAACTAAAAATTAGAAATCAACATTTACTTGTTTAGTTAGTTAGTTTGTTTGTTTACAGTTGAATAGGCTAAGAAGATAGAGAGTAGTTGTCATATAAAGGAATTTGGTTAAATTAGACGGTAGGGTAACAACAACGAAATCCCAAAAAATCAGGCAATATTCTGTACGAAAAAGTTATTCTGTTTCCTTTCGGTGATAATACACCTGATCAAAGTCTATAAATCGATAAATGCAAGATAACTGGAAGCATTGTATTAATCTACAAAGAGATTTACTTCACCTTTATTTCATACATACTAACTATATTATGTTTTATGGTCCATCAATTGTAGTGTGTTTGGTGATGCAAGTATTATTAGACTCTAAGGAGAGTAAACATTGCCTTAAGGTTGGGCGAAATCAGACTACAAGATACCACTAATCCATGAAGTCTTTGACTGTTGGTCCATGCAGTGTACGGAAGTGTACAGTACTTGGTTGGGCTCCTGGAACCTATAGAAATCAATGGATTCAGAGCGTTGATGATATGGCTGAAAATTGCATATAATAGTGCAGTTGTTTCCAATTTCTTACGTTTTCTATAACTTGAACTTCATTTTTCTGCTTCCGTCTACTTTGATAACAATCTTTTTCTATCCACTTGATCTTACCATGATGGTATGAATTGTGATAATGTGAACCAATGCACTTCTGGCCAACTGACTGACTCAGTCAGTCAGCATATGGCATTACTGGGTAACGGTGCACGTTGTTATACCCCATATCAATACATCAAATGAGAAAGTATGAAGATGAAAGGGAAATAAAAGGGGGGAAATAACAAAAGTGAAATTCACTCTGCCAATTACGATGTGCGGATACATCTGTGACAATGAGATCGATCTTGAGTCTCTACCCCCCTAGTTCGGTTGTCACATGCACGTGAAACAGAAAGTCTATAATTCCTCTACATTCCAGCCTAAACCTTCTGCACCTAGTATTCGGCGAACGAGTAGACGGTGACTAAGCATACGCAGTACATGTTCCAGAAATTTGAATTGATGATGGTTGACAAACTCATCACCTAACTTTCCTCTCATCATTTCAACAACCAGGATTTAGTACTTCTATTCCTCATAAGCAGATTCATTATTCTTCATCCACTCCTACCTCCCACTAAACCAATAGTACATCAAAATAACTTTTTTTAATAAAAAATAACTAAGAAAGTACATATATACAGTCAAAAAGTACTTCAGTTTTCAGTATTTTCACCAATTTTTCGTCGCTATGATATTTTAAAGCACACATAATGTATACACACAAAAATTAGTACTGATATATCAAGTAAGTAGAGAAAAGTGGAAAACGATGACAATAAAAACAAATGTGTGTTTGCTGGTCCACGTATATTAGACTCTAAGAAGAGTAAACACTGTATCAATGTTGATGACAGCCAGATTAAGACGTGGCATCAGTCTATGAAGTTTTTGACTAGTGGTCTGAGCCGTGTAGGTAGGTGTAGACCGTTTGACTACCCCATCACTTTAATCTCGCCTGGTTAACTAGTTCACTAGTTACTAGCCGGTCTTAAGCCCTGGTAAAGAGGGAAGGTTGGGCATAGGGCTAGCAACCCTTCCCCGTAAAACCAATCCAATCGCCAAAAAAAACTTCAAAGCACAAATTTTGACTGAGGTACCCGAGATTATATACATCAACCCTTGGAGACTCTTGATGGTCCTGTTGAAAATTGATCAAAATAGCGCCAATGTTTTCACTCTTTTATATCCATCAAAGCTTCAACACATGCACACACACACAACATATACTAGCAAAGAATAGTACTGATATGTCGAGTAAACAAAGAATTGTGAAAAGTAATAATAACAATGATAATAATAGAAGCAACGATAACAACACAAAAACAATACCTGATAGGAGGACGGGATCTTTATTTTCACTCTTCTTCACTTGATCAGATTCACCAGTCAGTGAACTTTCATCAATTTTCAAATCATTACACTGGATAACGATACCATCAGCTGGTAATAGATCACCTATATGGGTGAAACATGAAGATGTGGGATGCGGTGGCCATGCAGGGCAGTTGAGAAAGAGAACAATGAAAAGCAAACAAAGAGGTATTAAAGAATATTCATTGTGGTGTTAATGATAATAGTGTGTGCTTAAAATTGACGACGACGACGACGACAACCACAACAACAAGAGAGTAAACTGTGACAAATAAAGATGAAATGTTCTAATTCCCTAACCAGATACCTATTAATAGCTTCATTTTTCCAGTACAAACAGGAAACAACTGAAAGGAGACGGTAAGTCACAGAAAAGTGACTGACAACAGCTCTTTCTATCTATGTACAGCTCCTACTATCGACTCTCAACTGGCGTTCGCTCCCCCGTTTGTCATGCAATTCAAACGGACATATAGATGCCTAAAGTCTTTCGCAGTGATATATACTCACAGTTACCGAAGTATTCAGATTTGTTAATCAGAACACCAGAAAATGAATTATTCTAGTTTCGAAGAGGAGATTCTTCTGGCAGGATATTCGATGATGTGAATGCACTAGTGTGTCGATTGACAGGCTAACCTCAACCTATTTTGATATTAGTGATGGATAGTGACTAGCAGTAGAATCCAGAAAGTGCGTTTCGCTCTATATAGGACTCAGTCGTCAGCTAGATGCACCTGCCTCCTAGTGAGTGACTTAGTTCCCACTAGGACTTGAACACAGGGCCGATCGCTTCAAGTACCAGAACGTTACCTACTAGGTCACTGAGTCACGATAACCACTCCTTGTTGGTGGTATCATTTTCTTGATGGTATAGCTTGCATTTCTCCGTCGTTGACTGAGCAGATTTGGTCAACGGTTATTGGTATATGAACTCCTGTGCGGATTCGTCGAAACGCACGTCCTTAATTCCATCATACAACATCAATATCACAACTGAAAATAATGTCAATATAGAGGCATATTCACATGCGTACAAGCTTTAAGCTTTTTTTCCGACCGAATCTTAACTTAGTCAACATTGTGGGCCGGAATAGATGGTGACTAGGGATTTATAAAACACCTCCCAGTGATCCGAGTTAATGACAGCTTACCAACCTCATCCACGCCTAACCTACACAATCAGTACGCATTGCAGGCATAAATTTAGTTATCCCACTAATAGGGATTTGGTCTAAATTAGAACACTGAATCTACTGAGTGAGTTTGGCATTTAGGTCGTTGGACTTAATTAGTAAATACTAGATGAGCAAACATTGTGCTAATATGCACAAAAGTTACTCATTAAATCGCTCGAAGAAGCTAGAAATTAATGGAAGAATTCAGAAACAATCAGATCACTAAGAAGAAATTGCTAGTACATGGATGGAATCATATTTACAGTTTTCTAACTCGGTAACTGTTCATGAGAGTAAATGATAACACCCATTGCACAATGCTCTCTCACTTTCTCTCTTTCTCTTGACAGAAGGATTCCTATGCGGATGCCTTGAATCCAAAAGAGGATGAAATATGCATCATAGATTCCACTACTAGCCATCAAGCTTAGTGACCTTCTGTTATCCTCTTCCAAAGAATCGAGTGACTAAAGAAGTGGAATACCAAAGCTCAGCAGTTCAACTATTCGCCAATTATATAATATTAGGGCAGCGATAGGGTGTAAGTGAAGTATATCATTATCCTGCTGAAGAACTTCTAAAACGTAGACCAACACTCAAGATAATCATCTTTTACCAGATAAAATCCAGAATCATCATCTTTTGACAGGGAGGATACTATTTCATACCTCCTGACTGTGGTATGTTTCATGTCCATATTTACTTGAAATTGTTGGGCGAGTTATGCCAAAAGAGCGTTTCTCTCCACGCCATATACATGCAAGTAAGGATTGATTTGAGAAACACAATGTATATTCATGAGATGCAAATAACAAAGAAGAAAGACCAGAAATAGAGAAATGCTACGCATAAAAGTAAATTTAGCCACCGTTTCAAATACATTTGCCTGCCCATATGGTGGAGCGACTGTGAAGGTCACGCATCCGACTACCGAAACGACCACAATTAGGTATCTATATTTTAAGGTTGTATACACTGATAACATTTGCAGAACAATCGAAAACTTGGAGGGCAATGCAAAACTACTTCGTTCCACTTCAGCAATTCACAGCAGTACGCAACCACAATCACTCTCTCACCCTCTCTCCCCCACCCCCCCACCCCGTAGCCATCAAATTCAACACCATCAAGTCTTCAGGCGATCGTGTCAACAATTCACCTACTGGATCCGATAGAGTTCAATGGTTCATCACAGTTTCTTACTTCTGTCAACTCACGATATTGTGCAACTATCTACCAAGATCTTCAGTTGATATCCACTTCACTTCCTCCTATGGTTGACCGCACAGGTCCCAGTTTTGCAGCAGGACTTCGGAATATCCACAAACCTCCGACTCGGTGGCTGAAAACTGGTTAATGCTTTCGCCATGAAATCTGAAGGTTCTGAGTTCGATCCCTGGCGGGGCGAAGTTGGGTACGTACTGCTGAGGAATCCTGTACTAAGACGAGACAGGTTTTTAATGGTTCTCCAACTGATGTCAATCCGTGATGAATACTACCTTCAAAAAAATAATAAACCTTCCATTAACCTCAAAATTTGTATTTTAGTTGCTTTGGTGACCTCTAAAAGTTACTCATGATATGTATGACTGATTATTTATCATCTTATATTGAATATAACCCATCAGAGAATTGCAACGACTCTGTAAGCTGTCTATTTACTTACACCAGAATATCCATGTTTTGTTGTGTATGTATGTGTACTTACTTAGGGATCAGTGTGTGTATTATTATGACACACACATCTCATTATCACGTAAAGATTTGACTTTTCACCAGTGAACATGGATGCATACGAAGACAGGTTAGCCAGTTGAATTAAATGCATATACGCACATACAGAAACCCATGATAAAGAAGAACACTTTCTATTTCAAGCAACGTTACTGTCCGTGATCACACGAAAAGTTGGAATATTCTCGCAATACTTAAATCTATTCCATAATGAACAAACTTTTCCACTATACATTTTTAACGACGAACACATTGTGCATATATATTTATATATGTGTTGTATGTGTTACTAGACAGCAATAGATGTTCAACCAGAAAGTTGGACAGTGATTGAAGCAATGCACACACACACACCATAAACAAATACACCGATGGTCAAGTTACACTACAATCAGGTAATCAATAATTTGTTATTCTATGGGCCATTTATTACTTATACAAAAAGTAGCCGAATACACGCTGCACCAAACTCATCTAAACAATAGATATTGGATGAATAATATCTATATACATAATAGTAATGATATAACGATAATGATGAGGATACTAATAACAGTTGTATAAAATATCGTTGGCTCCGGCAGAAAAAATGCGAAATATTTACAATTTTTAGACTTGGGTGCATAAAAGTAAATGTAGTAGTAAGCGTGTATACACGCACAAACGCGAACGCAGAGTAAAACAATAATCCTTTCGCATTTTTCAGTGAACAAGAGAGTGGATATGAATGCCGGATATTAAAGAACAGAAAAAAATAACTACTAATTACGCAAGATCATCTATTGATGCGATATATCTATATAAGGACGGTTGTTTTCATGACAAATTGACACCGCTTGGAGAAACATTTGAAGTCTGGAAGAACTGGACGGTTAGTTCGTCTCCTTAGCAGCACGAACCCAACCCCGCCCCGCCAGGGATCGAACTCAGAACCTTCAGATTTCATGGCGAAAGCGTTAACCAGTTTTCAGCCACCGAGTCGGAGGTTTGTGGATATTCCGAAGTCCTGCTGAGAAACTGGGACCTGTGCGGTCAACCATAGGAGGAAGTGAAGTGGATATCAACTGAAGATCTTGGTAGATAGTTGCACAATATCGTGAGTTGACAGAAGTAAGAACTGTGATGAACCATTGAACTCTATCGGATCCAGTAGGTGAATTGTTGACACGATTGCCTGAAGACTTGATGGTGTTGAATTTGATGGCTACGGGGTGGGGTGGGGGAGAGAGGGTGAGAGAGTGATTGTGGTTGCGTACTGCTGTGAATCGCTGAAGTGGAACGAAGTAGTTTTGCATTACCTCCAAGTTTTCGATTGATCTCGATATACACACATATAACTGATTCATGACGATTGATTTTTTCAATAACAAGTTAGCTACTCTATTTATCTTTAAGTAGTATTATTCATGTGGTCTGAGAAGTCATTTACAAGCATGAAATTGAGAATGCCTGAAAATGTGGTGTACAATAAACGTACGACAGGTGAAGCTTGAATAATCCACATGAAGCACTTCATATATCCGTGAAAGAGTCAAAGATTCATGCAATCGAAATGTTTTGGTTTCAACTGAACATATTTCATTAAGTTCATCGATAGTTTTATGAAGAATTGTCAAGCTTTAATAAGGGCATAATTGTCTCACATGTTTTACACTTAAATGGACTGAAATGAAATGAACAAATTGAAGACTTGTGTTCCTGTTTACTTGGAGACAATTAGTTTCTTAGTCTTCACCATTCCTCTTTTAGAGCTGTGGTTCAGTGCCTATCGCATGAATGTGCACAAGGTTGTTAAGTACATTTCGACTCGCTCATCTTCTGAGGTCACTTTAATAGTTCCGTAGGAGCTAAAATTATCTCACTAGAGTGAGATTCATTCTAAAGAGAAAGATAGGGATAACTTACTCCACTCTTGTACCCCAATGACTTGGTGGATAACTGGTTGGTGTTTTAAGCAACGAGTTCAAGTCCAGTGAAAAAAAAACGCCGATTTCCAGGTACATCCAGCTGACGAGTCCCAAACAGGACGAAACGTGCGTCCTGGATTTAACTCCTAGTCACCAACCACACTACATAATAATCCACTTCTTCAATCTATGATATCTGTGATGAAAATTTGTCTAAACAAGCTCCTATATAAAGTTATCTTCATACTCTGATCTCTAATGGTTGAGAATATGAATTAAGTAAGGCAACCAGTGTTATAGAGGACCGTGCAAAAATGAAATCTCTATTCATCAAGTAATGGTTTCCAGGATTGTCTGAATAATGCTGATAATCTTCCGTTTTATTGCTGAGTGGAATGAGATGCTAAAGTAGTAAGGTGCCTTGTGCAGATAACCAGATGCACCAGTGTTGTCTTCCCTAAGGGAAATTAGGGTTAAGAAAGGTCCGCCTGAAAATAGCACACAAGTCCCTGTGCCCTGTGTTTTACCTGTTTCATTAGTACGATTTTACAGCTGGATTCAAGATGAACAAACTTAAATCGCTAACTTCCCAAAAGGCCATGTTCAATGAACGCCAACAGTTGTCCATTGAGCTCTGCACGGTTGAGCACCGCTATTCATAATACAATTTCTTTTTGAGATACCTCAAGATGACATGATCTTCGAGAATGTGAGCAGTAGGATATTTTCAACTGCCCTCACAGTAAGGAAGAACATTTCTATATCGACAAAATACAAATCTTACAGTTTAGCAGTAAAGTTTCTTGCTTTCACGGTTGACAGATGAAGTGTGCAGTGCGAGAATACCACATATCAATATCGATGACTCTCATTTCAACAATGAAGCGGTAAGTGTTATGACGTCTCTTGATAAGGAAAATTTAAACACCAGAAACGCACCAGTTTGATTTTATGCCTACTACTGATAAAAGTAAGCAGTTATTTTGGAAATGATAGGAGTAATCGGTTTTTTATGTATTCAAAAATGAGGGTGCACAGAACTATAGATGAATATATTCAAGTCCTCTGACCAAATGGTTAACCTTAAATCTGTTTGTTACCTTTGTGGTACTTCACTGAAAAAGAGAATATGACTTTGCAGAAAGCTGTTACCGAAAGACATTTGTCGATGAAGATTGCAAAAGTGAAGTGCTGGAATTTGTGGACACTTCACTTGGAGACTTGCATCAGCCCGAATATACTGGTTGCTAACGCAATCTCAGCTCGGATACCGAAAGCTCATTTGGCATTCTCTGACATAGGTCATTTTCGGTGTCGTCGAGATATCCGACTACCTTTTAAAGGATGAAGATACCTCATTCTAGTGCGTTCTATCCCGCGATACTGCTGTGAGACATGCCCATTAAAAGCGAATGACAAGAAGCGGTTACAGGTTTTCGATTATATATGTCTTCGTAGGATTGCTCGCGTATGCTGTTATCGCCGTGTGAACAGCGTTGAGGTCAGGGAAAGAGTACTAGAAAAGGCAGGCAAGTCGATTGATGGGGTTGTGAACCCTCAACGACTGAGATGGCTTAAACATACACTACTTATGTCATGATTAGGTTGGAAAAGGGTTCAGAGTGGACGGATCAAAATGTGGGATTGGTGCATGAAGTCTCTGGTCGTCGGTCTTAGTCGTGTATGTAGGTAGGTGTAGACTACCTGACTGCGGTGTCTAAGATAATGAATCAGTGGTTGGGTACGCTTCGTGGGAACGTGCTGCTAAGGAGTCCCTATACCTCGACGAAAAACCTGTCCAGTGGTCTCAGGTTCCCACAATCCTTGATGAATAATATCTTAAACATATACTGTTCAGTACTACTGTATTTGAAATTCGGGTAGAGTAAGTGATAAAATTATCTGTGCAATTGTTTAACAATGATCCCAGTAAACTGTGAGGTTCAATACCCTATGTTTAGTTGTGCATTGCCACCAACCTATCTAGTTGACAACTAACTGTTCGGTCCGAAATGATGTTATTCACTCGTAGTCTTCTCATTCAGTTTGCTAACCCCCTCCCCCCGCCCAACCTACTTAATTCAATGTCTTAGTAGTGTATGCATGTATGCTGTGTGTGTGTGTGTGTCCGTTCCCTTTATTACATAACAGCACACATAAATTCATGCATGTATGTGGAGTAAAATCTTATGAATCCTAGTGAAATTTATGAATTCAATAAACCCTGATTTAATCACATTTATTGCTTGTCATAAATTTGCATCGGTAAACAAATGTCTCTTTTCAATACCTACATACTCAACAAACCCCTACAAACCACCAATTGAAGCATCAACAGTCTAGCACTTACAAGTGACTTGCTTCGAGATAAATTTCTCGAGGTCCTAGTGACAATTCATCACTCAGGGAGGTCAATCAAGTCGGAATGAGATGGATGCCAACCGATTACACTGGACGATGGTTGCAGTATATCGTGAAATGACAGAGGAAAGAAATAATGGATTATTGAATTTCTACATTCAGTGGCTAAATGGTGAAGGTAAAACACTCACCACGAGACCTCGAGGGAGGGGTCGTGTATGCTCATTGGTTCATGGATGAACCTTACCCCTTAAAATCAATCTATTTCCAACAAACCAGCGATTGAATTATAAAATTCTTAGTCGATCTATTAAACAATGAGATGTAATAGGTTGTGATCTAACCGGTTACCAAGGCTGAAGTAGCGGGTTTGAACAGAACTCGAACCTGGAATCCACTGTTTGGACGAAGTTACAACTGTGCAGATTTATGCATATTTTCGTTAAAAAGTGAAATCTATCGCTTAGCTAATAAACACTGAAGAACATTAAACAACGCCATTGGATGGAATTCGACTACAGTAACTATGCGAAAATGTAGTTCAAACAACTACAACTTAGAACATTCCATTTATAGATAGGTAGTTTTTATACTAGGTGATGATTGAAGGTGAAATAGGAATTTGAACTACAGCTGGATTCGAACCAGGAACCACCAACTTTCCGGCCTGGTGCTTTACAGACTGAGCTATGAGGTCTGACTGCTGGCTGATCAGATTTTTATTTCACTTCAATCACCAAGGGTTTTATCCGACTCCCATGTGAATTCGTGACGCGTTACTGTCGCTTGATCATATTCACACTAGCCTCCCAGTCAGGACTTCTCACCCCAATCCAAATCTAACTGAATAAAAGAGGTGGGATGAGCACCATATTGGTTATTATTTTAGCTGTTTGGGTAACCGTGGTTTAGTAGACTAGTATTGATATTGGGTGATGATTGAAGGTGAAATGAAAATTTGGACCACGGTAGGATTTGAAACCGTGATCATGGGTTTCCGACCAGGTGCTCTACCACCAAGTGAGCTACGAGGCCGGACTGCTGAGTAGCCAGTGTGAATACGACCAAGCGATAGTAACGCGTTACGAATTCACATGGGAGTCGGGCAAAACCCTTGGTGATTGAAGTGAAATAAAAATCTAGTCAACCAGCAGTTGGACCTCGTAGCTGAGTTGGTAGAGCTCAGGGCCGGTAAATCGGTGGTCGCTGGTTCGAAGCCAGATGCGGTCCAAAATTACATTTCATCTTCAATCATCACTCACTATCAATACAAGATTGTTTTTAGTTATACTGAAAATCAAATTTGGTGTATATACTAGTGGTACGATGGTGTTTACAATCCTCATTAAACTATTCACAGTCTCTTATTTTGTAAACATTTAGCGGTAGTACCTATTAAACTATTCATCAAATAGATGTCATATACTTAAGTATGTTTACGCATAAAATAAAATTCACATACAATGCAGAAAGGTCAAAAGTTCTTATTTGACGGAGAGAAATAACAAATAACGAATTATTTACAGCAGTTTAGGATTCCAAGTTGGTATTCATCATGGAGGAGAACCATTGAAAACACGGGAGCACTGGGCAGCTGTTTCGTCCTAGTATAGGACTCCTCAGCAATGAGCACCTACGGCTTCCCCGGGGATCGAACCCAGGACCTTCGGGCTCCACAGCCAGCAAATTACCACTCAAAGTACATCCAATCATCGATTGAGAAATAACTACTAAAAAGTTATTGAAATGCTAGAAGCTCTAAGGGCTTCTCAACGGAACACATTCACATTCTCGTCAAGGACTAACAGGTAAAAGTGTCATTAACGCGTATAAAGTGTATACAATTTGTAGGAAGACAGTGTGGCAGCAGATGGGGATTAACATTTCACTTACCATATTTCACTTGACATACATCACCGACAACAATCTCTTTACGCTAATTTGTCTTGTTTCACCTTTACGTATTACAAAAAATGTATGCTCTGATTCAATTTTATTTTGTAGTCCACGAAATTGTCGTTCTTTTTGCCAATCATTTAATGCCACGACAAAGACAACAACAAAAACAGCAATCAATATAGCCAGGCCTTCGATCCAACCAGCTTGTCCCTCAGATTCATCGAATGTAGGCGCTTGACCATCTGAAGGGGTAAAAATGAATAAAATAAACTTAAGTCAGATCAGTAGAGAATAAAACAAGGAAAAACAATCAACAAGGTGATGAATATAAATCAATCACACGATTATTTACAGTCCCAATATATGTAAGACACATAAAATCAGCGTGGAACCTTGTATACAAGTCCATTACTTCAAGTGGTCACAATTCACAGTAGTATACAGAGAATAAGAGGATCGAAAAAAACAAATTCCAAGCAGTGAATAGATCTGTGCCATTACGACCGATTTTTGCTGATGTCATCAAGAGTTAACAACCATCAATTTCTTTCATTTCAGGGACCATAGCCAGGTAGTCTGCATCTCCTTACACGGGTTAGACCAAGAGCCAGAGACTTCATAGACTGGTCTCAAGTTTTTGTCACACTATCCTGAACCCTTTTCCAATTTAACTCCGCTTCCCGTAGCATCGGACGTTGAGGTAGGCGGTGGGTGGGGTATGCACAGTACATATCCAAGTGAATGGGGGTTCAAAACCTCAGGCATACAGACAGACTAAATCAATGCAGAAAGTAGCACACAAGCACATCGCTTGAACCTGTCACACTTTATAGTAGTATACGAATGAAAAAGACACTCATATCAAAGTAGACAAAGTTGTATGAGAGAATAAGCAATTATAAGATGAAGTTCAGTGCTATGGAAGACGCCAAACTAAAATGGGATGAAATTACAAAAACTTTGGAAGAGGTATACTCAGTGACAAAGCTAGTCAATGGCTACCATAGAAGTTGAAGGCTAACAACTGTCTCTTTTTGGATGAACAAGTTCGGTTTAATTATTCTGATGGCAACTGCTTCTGTCAATCCTAATAAATTAGCATTGTTTCATTTATTATCTTCTTGATACTCGATGATAACTGAAGGTGAAATGAAAATTTAGGGGACAACAAAACTCGAACCAGTGCTTTGCCTACCAACTGAGCTACGAGACCTAGCTGCTAGATGATCACATCTTAGTTTCACTCCAATCATCAAGGGTTTTGTCCGACTGAAATTTAAATTTATGATGTGCTAGTATCCATTCATAAAGTTACTAAATCACAATTATCTCAAGATAGTCAGAAGTGATCATCAATATGCTGCCCTTCCCATCTCTTTAATTGGGGTAAATTTGGATTGAGATGAGAAGTTCTGACTGAACAGGCAGTGTCAATACAATGAACGGATAGTAACATAACACATAAAGCAAGATGATATTCTGACTATACAGACATAAGGTAACTTCGATTTTGGCAATCATTGATTATTTCCTTTGAACTTCCCTAATCTGTATCAATTCCTTCACTAGTATCTCCCATCAATGGATTATCATCCTGTTGTTTGATGCTTGTAATTTCCGTTACTATACAGGGTCGAATTTCTCGACCTCTGCTGGAAGATGAGGTCTTATGTGAATGTTCGATACTGCCGAATATTTATGATGTTGTATTCATTTTGGTAACTAGCAATGGAATCCAGAATAGGCGCTTTGTTTCACTAATGACTTGTCAGTTGGAGGTACCTGCACCTCAGTGAGTGATGTTATCCTCCCTGAGACTCGAACGCAGTACCTATCGCTTTAAATGCCAGGGATTATCATCCTCGTGATAAGTGTTGATTTTATGTAGATTGGATTGTTCTATGTATATATCGAATGACTTTAAGGATGTACACACACCGTTGAAAAGAAGGCGGTGAAATATGGTGTATGAATCATAGTATTCTGCAAAATGTATTATTGCTCTAGCTTTGGTGGACATGAGAACAAATGCTCAATGATGACATTGGGTGATGGTCGTGGACTGACAGTGTGCTGGCCACGGAACCTGAAGATCCTGAGTTGGATCCCCGGTGAGAGGTCATTGGTGAGGGACTCCCCACTAGGACGAAACAGTTTTCCAATGTTCTTCCACCTGATGTCAGTCGATAATGAATACCAACTTAAAATGATTTTTAAAGGGAATCAATTTATTTTGAAAAATAATCTCAGTTTTTAACTTTGTTGTAACCATAAGAGGTCAATCACAGTTCAACTGATAATCCATTATAGTATAGTGTTAGAGAATATTTCGTAGAGAATAATATGAAATTAACTATTTCTGAGTAATGATAATAATAATCAATAACAAACAAAAGTGTATTGTATAATACAATGACTAGTTGTTGTTTTTTTCGGCGCCAAATATCTAAAGGATTTGAAAGATACTCTATATGAATACACGTTTTTCGTAATTATTTACTTATTATTCATCCTATTGTATGAACTTAACTCATTACCGCGCTAAGAAATGTAACATCTTAGCATAATTTATCATTCAGGCGATATCATCATTAATGACATTTCTGAACAGTGTGACTGATTTAAAGTATACAAAGAACTGTGGATTTTTATTCAACAACATAATGTGTTTCTTTTGACTTTCTTATCATTATAGATAAAGAAAGGTAAGTAGTCATCGAGACATGTTTGTACTGCTGATGCATAAGGTACACACACACACACCTCTATTACATTTGGTGGTAAGTATTATTCCAATGATGTTTCAACTAATAATTGGGAAATTGATTATCTCTTTTTAACTACCATAGTGTTTAGCAGGCTAGTATTGTTTCTGGGTGATGATTATCAATACCCATTATGAAAAATTTTATATAAATGTGAACAATATTGTTTTCAATTAAATCTCATCAAGTTTCACTCTAATATACATCAACTTTCAACGACAACAGGGAATACGGATTGTAAAAAAAGACCAAGACAGTAGGCGAAATTTACTTGATATTCTATTCAGTAAACGAAGAAATGGATCACATCATAGAAACGTGTACAGAAGAAAACAAATCTGCATGTCAATACATACATACACACACACACACACAGTTTCTTAGTTTTACTCCTATACGATACAAAAGAAATTTAGTTAAATGCTTGACAGTCAAAGCAAGGAAAATCTGCTCAGATGACTCTCTACAGAGTGAGTTGGAGTGATTTTGAATCCATTAATGGAAATAGATTATCCACATAATTTTATTTTAAAAAAAACATATGAATAAAGAGATGAAAAGATCTGAAATAGCGCGACCGTTCGAAAGAAACCTCTATTCATAAAGCCACTGACTGTCGATAACTGTTAAAAGGACTTTTTATGCAGCTAATCCCTGTTTATCGTTTCTGAATCAATGATTTGCTTCATGTCAAACGAAGGACAAATTATCTAGTTTCGTCGCTTCCGTGTGTATTTTTACCAGTTTAATTACTCGTCTGGAGAGAGACAGGTATATCGGGCGTACGACTAGGCAAATTAACCAACGTATTACCGAACACCTACCTCTGTGACTGGTTAAACGATGGATTATATCTATAAGAAGCCTTATTTTGTCACATCTAATTGATACTGATCACAGAGTAGATAAGACGAAAAAAACTGTTCAAAGTGATTTACCACATACTACCGAACCTTTACGATGGAGTTCAAATCCACCTTTTACGTATAACTGAGACTATAGGAATTCGAATAAATAATCCAAAGCTCTGTATCCAGGAGAAATTTGTACAGCCTTTATCCTTGCATTAGCTAGCGAGAACGCAATGAATGACCTTACTTATGAATTTTAAAATGTACTTCTCCTTTTTATATTTTATTTTGTCACCCTCTTTCACATCACTACCATATTCACGTTCAACTCTTATTTATTAATTTTCATTTGACTACCTGAGATAGCAGCCGTGGTTTGTCAGACTAGTATTTATACTAGGTGATGATTGAAGGTGAAATGAAAATTTGGACCACGGCAGGATTCGAACCAGAGACAACCATGGTTTCCGACCTGATGCTCTACCAACTGAGCAGCCAGTGTGAATACGACTAGGCGGTAGTAAGGCATCATGAATTAACATGATATTCGACAAAAACACATGGAGACTAAAGTGAAATAAGAATCTGGTCAGCAGTTACACCTCGTAGTTCAGTTGGCAGAGTATCGGACTGGAAACCTGGTGGTTTCTGGTTCGAACCGGCCGTATTTCAAATTTTCATTTCACCTTCAATCATCACCTAGTATAAGTCCTATTTACTCACCGCCTTCATTCTCCAGTATCATACAACCTCATTATCCTGTTATGTTTTTCCATCTTTGATCTACTTTGTCTGCCTATCTGTTTGAACACCTTTTTGATTGTTGTGTCATTCTGAACAGTCTTATTATTTATTTTATAATCCGTATTCTTTGTTGTCATTGTCCCACAAATTACTTTGGTTGATATTTTACAAATATGTTGAAAGTTATGTATATTAAAGTGAAGCTTGGTCAGATTGATCTAACTGAAAACAATATTGTTCGCTTACATGTCTTGTCATGATTATCAATACCACAATCGATCATCGCAAACCACTGAATAGAATTACTGTCTAGTGTTAATTAGTGAGTGACTTGCTTCGAGATGAGATTCCTGAAGATCGAATGATGATGAACTGTGACCAGTGACCAGTAGGACCAACCAAGTCGGATGTGAGGACAGTTACTCAACGATGACATTGGATAGAGGTTACCCTATATCGTGAACTAAGAGAAGTACGAAAATGTGGACCGATGGACTCCAGTCCATTGGTTGAATGCTCACTACGACATTTCACGACTTCAAGCTTGGTTTTTCGTGGGATGATGAGTGCACACACTGTTAAAGAGTCCCATACAAGGATGAAACAGCTATCCAGCGCTCCCACCTTTTCTATGTTTTTCCAACTAGTGTTAGTCCGTAATAAATATCATCTTGAAAATATATGACAGATATGTGCTTAGTAATCAACAAACAAGTTTACAAGTGTACAACTGCATTGTTTCTCGATAAGGAGCAAAAAGACAAACAGACAAAACCAACGACGAACATCGTATACAAGTGCATTGGCTCAACTTGCCATACTCCACAGTAGTTTACGAAGAACAGGTGGATAGAATAAGAATGATATCACAGTAGACAAAGT